AGAGAGAGAGAGAGAGAGAGAGAGAGAGAGAGAGAGAGGGGATGTTGCATGGGTGCACCCATGTCCAGTCTACTTTGCAATGTAAAGTTCCATAGTTAAATGTATGTTTTCAGTGCCATGAGCTGGGTTATTAATACAGATAAACAAGGTAGAAACAAAAGAACTATCGCTGGTACATATGATTATGGAAAAAGCTTATATAAGTTGCTCTTTTTACTGTAGAAGCAACGCACACTTCAAAAATCCATTGAGAAAGGTTATTCTAATGCTGAAAAACTCTCCAATTGATCAATCGACCTTGAGATATATGGATTTGGAAAAAAAAAGAATTTCAAGTCCTACAAATGATGCATCTTGTAACACATTATCTAGACCGTCCTTTCAAGATTTTCAAGTGTCTGTAGATCTGCTCAAACTGCACCGCTTTTTGAGTTTGAAATTTCACGATTAGATGTGAAAGAGATTTTCAGGTCATTGTTGAAATGTATGACACCTAAACTATATTAACTGACAAGGTTTGGAGATATGCCTTACTTGGATTGTTTCAGGTTGTCACCTTATGCAAACTGCACCCAATTATTACCGAGGCTTTCAATAGACAATGACAAAAGATAAGATAGCAAATGGCACATTTGAAAAAAGTAAAGCAACAGTCAACTAACCACCATTCACTAATACTATTCTTAAAAAACGATAGAATTAAATTTACTGATTCAGCTAATTATACAAAATGTGAAATACGTACTGTATTACCGGTTTTGTGCTGTCTCAAAATCAGGCCCTTGTTTTGTTTGATAAACCCACCCAGGAGCAAATATTGCAGCTGAAACGGCATCCTTCTTCGCCACTTCAAGTGCAACATTGGTCTAGAAAATTTTATTGTCACAAATCCAAATTTTGCTGAAAATTCTACTCATTTTGTGACCCATGAATTTCAGAACATTCAAATTCAATAGAGAATATGTCAAGGACAGAAACGAAGTCAAGATATATACTACATGTGTTCTAGAGTTAAGAATTTTACATTAAAGCATAGCAGCAAAATGCAAAAGAACTACATTGTAAGTTGGAGTTTGAAGCAGATGAATTTTTATGTCGCAGATTAAAAAAAAAAATGCGAAGACAACTATTTAAATTCATCTAGGATGATGATATATATGCATACAAACCAGTAAACAGACAATAGTTCTTAATGATGAAATGCTATACTTTAGCTGGTGATCAAGGCCTGGCATGAAACACACTCACTATTATGGACACAAATTTGATTAAACCAGGCATAGTTTTGTACATATTTAATAATATGTGTCTGTGCATAAACTAAAGTTGTGGAACCCCTTTTGTATAAGAAACAGAGTACCCGGGAGATTCACCCATTTTATGGAGGCGATCTTCAAGACAGCAAACGGCATGCATCCCTTCAGAACATATGGTCAAAGAAGATCTACGACTTGCATGCTAGTAAAATAGAACCAAAAGCTATATACAGATTACTGTCTAAATGCACAATATCCCCACATAGCATGCCATGAGTATACTAGAGAGTTAGAAATCATGAAATTACAGGAGCGTGGGAATTCATTGTGATAACTGGAGGAAGTGCTCCCAATATGGCACAACAATGCAAGCAAGCTGCAGGCCTAAAGTACAAAATCTGATATAGAAATAGTTTTCTTATCCCATCACCTTCTAGACAATGTCAGTCCGATAAATAATGACACTTGGGCCTTGTGAAGAGGTTGAACAAATTTTGTAATTTCTAAATCATGGTCTTCATTCAGTTTTTATTTACTTAGTGAAAGCTGACCTAAGTTTCTAGTCTTCCAGTTGTAGGTGGCGGAATACCTTCACTAACTTACTCTTAGTACAAATAAAGTGACAACTACTTTAGACATGCATTCTGAAGCATGTGATGCCTTGTGTCCAAAGATACACATGGATTATTTCTTAAAAAATCAGTCTCAACTCTTTCCTATCTTTTCATGAAATTTGGACAATAGTTTAAATCATACAACACATGAAAACTTTCACCACGGAAAAGGGCGTATATGTCATCATCCTTAAAACCCTGTTTTAACAACATCACATAATCCATCAAGAACCATCTATGCACACTCTAAAATAAACTATCCACTGCACTTCCTAGATATTCAACTGAATTTTCCCTGGCAACCATTTACGTTGAAATTAAAGACGCCATTTAAATGTGAATAACTCCTATTCTAAAACTCAATTGCTGTTTCCCAAGCTACAATGACATCAGCAAGCAAAGTCCCCTCACGCATCATCATCAAGGACTTAAGCAAAGGCCCCAACCTTAAGAAATTATTCTGTGGCATAGTAGGCTAAGTGTAGTGGTAGCAACAAGCAAAGCTCCCACTAGGATATATCGAACATCAAAAAGGCTACACTCCTGTAATCTAAAGAGTTTGTTTTTCTCCTCACGCATAAAGAGGAATTGACTTTTTGTTTACTCTCCACATGTTTCATGTATATCTCTTTACGAGTTACCCAATTCTCCTAATATTCTTCCTACCAAAACAACTACCACCAGCACAACCCTTGCCCATTCTAGCTATGGATCCTATTCAACGGTTATTGAGTACGGTGCTAGTATGGGCCCTTGTTCACATCATACCTACCAACGTACTCATTCTCACCAAGGATCTTCACCTTAAAATTACTCAATCACATATCTACCAATAGCCAAGGGAAACCATTCCACCCACTTATCTCATTCACTCGAGATTCATCTTCATGCTACTGAAAACAAGATTTAATACTTATTTTTGAAATGCAAAGCCAACAACCGAGATACAACTAATGATACTTGCCCTATCTGTCCGATGTATACATATACTACAGGAAATGAACATCAACATGGAATGATAGAAATACAAGACAGCTTTAGTTACTAGATTTCTTAGAATCAAACCATAGAGTATAACAAGCATAAGCGTAAAAGGAATACCGTCCATTGTCCTCCACCATAGGTACCTCGCCCAAAAACATCAACTCCCATGTATACATCAAAGTTCCGGCTGCCAGCCACAGCAGCTGAACTTTTAGGATAGTCCTCCTAGAAAGCCAAGAATATCAAACAAATGAAAAAAATGCCACAAAATGAATATGACGACAAGTAAGAGATAAAAGGAAGAAAAATTCAGAAACAATATCTTTTACCTGCCATGAATAATTTACGAATATGCCATCACACAAATCAAAGAATGGCTTGTTGAGATCATTCAATTGATTTTGCCAGCTAAGAATGCCATCTTTTGTCACACTATCGTACCTATTGCCACCATATACATACAACATAAATAAGATTCACACTCAGCATCATAAATCTCATGAATCAAATATTTAAAATTAGAAGGTCCCCAGAATAGACCATATCACCAAAGATCCAGGAGCCAAAGAGTGCATAGACCGAGTCAAGTAGTCTACAAATTCCTTTAGGTTAGGTATTTGCTTTACATCCAGTGCAACCTCCATATTTATCTGCAAATCACGCATATTCAATTCTTCAATTCTAATGCAACACTAGAAAGCACTAAGTGGTAGGGGGCAGACAACAATATATGCATATGCCTGCCATCCAAATGCACATATATCTCTGTTTCACTTATGTGCATTTACGCATATATATTTATTTTAGCTATGTATGTATGTAAATATATGCAGCTGAATGTTGAAAAACACATTGAAATCATTGAATCACATTTCACGATTGTAATAAGTCAGCATTCCCTCAGTAATGTAAGATTAAATTAACTAGCAAGTAACAACCACAGAGGAAAAATCATAAAAAGTATGATAGTAATATTTAAATTGGCCAAAAGATTTCATGCTCCCACAGAAGCATACTGTCCACATACTCCCTTGGGTAAAACCCAATCTCAGAGTAATTTTAGGACACCAAATTTCAGGATATAACCACTTCAACCCATGGACTAACATCCAAAAAAGCCAAAAAAAAAAAAAGGAAAAAAAAAAGGAAAAATTCCAAGTCACACTCTCTATGCACTTGAAAAAATTAATGTCTCAAGATTGAACACAGACCATCCAATTTTTTTAGGGTGAGATCTATGTGTGAAAACTTAAAATTCCAAATTTCTCTTTTGAAAATAATCATTAGTGACTCTTAGGTGGTTCCCGAAGTTTCAGATTAGGAAATCCCTCCCAAGTAGGTCTTCTGCCCGAGGGAGTAGATGTATTATATGCTGCTGCAGGAGCAACATATGTGTGGTCTTTACATGGACATTGACATACTCATAAAGTAATAAAAGTCCTCAAATATTAAATGACTGCAATGAAATATGATACTAGGAAGTCCACAACATGAGGACCATAGTTCATACTCGCCAATATACATACACATTTCAAAATCCAAAGTTCCAATTCCCAGACCATGATATAGTGAAAGTCATAAAGTAAAATGCTAAAAAGTATATTAAAAAAGAATTCAACTAACTCTAGTGTTAGAAAACCCTTCTTTTTTCCCTTTTAGAGGGAAAAGGACCAATATGCCCCTTACCGGACGTCATTTTCTACCCTCAAGCAAGGGAAAAGCTGAGGTGGCTCCTATGCCTAGGCACTAGACAACCTCACCTGGCCTGCCAAGGCAGCTGCCCATGGTTAGGCGGCCCAGGATTGGCTACCTAGGACCAGGCGGAGCAGGACGGCTACTTAGGCCCTAAAAGGACTGTTTTTTCAAATATTAGTTTTCATTTGTCTAACACTAATTAAGAAAAAGAAATAGGAAGCACAATGGAACCCAAAACATACCAGCCAACCGTCAAAGCCTAATTCCACAGCAATCTCAGCCAAACGATCAGCATACATTCTAGAAGACTCTGGAGTAGCTAACAAAGTATTAGCTACAGCTCTCCCTTCATCCCATTCTGTAATAAAAGTCCCCAATACCTTCAAATATCACTAGATCAATTAGGTATTGTTCAACACATACACACACCCCCTTCAAATATGACTACATCAATTAGATATTGTTCAACACACACGTGTGCGCTCACACACACACACACACACACGCGTGCACACACACACACACACACACACTATATATATATATATATATGGAATGTATATATCACACCCTTTTGAAATACTAATAGTAATGATAGAATAGGTTGTTTAGGGTCTATTTAGTACCTATGTAGTTTCTTTTCAAAACGTTGCTTTTTTTTTATATAGCTTGCTCATCAAGTAAGAGTGCATGTTTATTACCACTAAAGGATAAGGGATACTTTTGTTATCTTTATAAAAGTAAAGTTTAAAATTCTATTAAAAGCTATAGGCATTGTCCAAATAAAGTTTCAAGAAATTAACTTCCAAAATGCTATTGTACTTTTGTGATAATTTCAAATTGGCCCTTAATGATTAAGTTAGTTATAAAAAATAATGTTTCCAATAAAAATAATATTTTTTTAATAAATGCACCCATCACAACTCATTCTAACATTAACATTTACATTTAGGTGCACCTCACTGAGATGCATATATCCACAAGATTTGAGAAAAATCTGATTTGTAAAATATTGTTAAAATTCAGACATTGCCAGAAAATTGTGACTGGTTGATGAAACTTCGGACGATACTTAGCCACTGAGTGAGGTTCTACGTGAAGTGTTGTAGAACTTCACTCATGAACTTTTTAAGTGTTTATATATATATAAAAGAAGTATACAATGAGACCATTTATCTTTGGTACAAGGTGGTCACAATTAGTCCTGACTATTGAATAATATAATATTGGGTGGCTACATTTATTGTATTGACCAAGCTCAAAGTTCAAAAGAAATTTTCTCGAACTATGTGACACATCCAAACGATCAGATTTTACATCAAATGGTTATAAGTAATTGTGACCTCCTTGTCATCATCATCATTATAGCCTTTTCCCAATTAATTGGGCTATACGAATCTTGATCAGCCATTTTGTTCCATTAAAGGTCATACCCTTAGTGAGGCCATAAGTCCCCATATCGTTTTGGACTACTTCCAACCATGTCGTTTTGGGCCCGACCCTTGCCCTTTTCAATCGTTCCACATGAACTAACTCGCACCTCCTAACAGGTGATGTACTTGGGCGGCACCACACAGGGCCAACCCACCTCAGTCTACTCTCTCTCATCTTATTGCCTATTGGTGTCACACCTAAATTCTCCATAATGGATTCATTTTGAATTCTATCCTTTTTCGTCTTGTCACTCATCCATCTCAACACCCTCATCTCCGCTACACTCATTCTATTGGTATATTGTTTTTTATCCGCCCAACATTCTGCCCCATAGAGCAAAGCTGGTCTCACAGTTGTCCTATAGAACTTGCCCTTCAGCTTCATTAGTATGCAACAATCACATAAAATTCCAGTTGCACATCTCCACTTCGCCCACCCAACTCTAATTCTATGTGCAACATCTTCTTCAATCTCTCCATTTCCTGGATTATCGTCCTAAGATATCGAAAGTGCGGTCTTTTTTTTATTTCTTGGCCGTCAATCTTAATTATTTCCTCATCTCTACTCTTATTATTACTAAACTTGCATTTCATATACTCTGTCTTAGTCCAACTAATTTTAAAACCTTTGGATTCTAGGGCATCCCTCCTAAGTTCTAACTTTGTGCTGACGCCATTTCAGGTCTCATCAATCAAAACTATGTTATTTGCGAACAACATGCACCACGATACCTTATCCTGTAGGCGCTTAAAGTCGTCCATAATTAAGACAAAGAGGTATGGGCTCGATGCTGACCCTTGATGTAGGTCTATTGCCATTGAAAACTCACTTGTATCTTCACTAGTTGTTTGTACACTAGTTAGCGCTCCAACGTACATATCTCTCACTAAGTCGATGTAGTGTTAGAAGACTCATTTCTTTTTCAACACCCGCCAAATCAAATCATGAGGTACTCTATCATAGGTTTTCTCTAAATCAATAAAGACCGTGTGGAGGTCTTTTCCCTTCGCCCTAAACTTCTCAATCAGTTGTCTAAGTAGGAAAATAGTCTCAGTTGTTGACCTTCCTGGCATAAAACCAAATTGGTTTTCAGATACACCCATTTCATGCTTTAGTCATTGCTCAATCACTCTCTCCCCAGAGCTTCATAATATGACTCATAAGCTTGATCCCTCGATAGTTCGCACAATTCTGTATGTCTTATTTGTTCTTGTAAATAGGTACCACAATACTTTTCCTCCATTCGTCTGGCATATTATTTGTTCTCAACACCTTGTTGAAGAGCTTCGCCCGACAGTTATTGCCAATCTCCTCCATTCACTTCCAAACCTCTATCTGGGTACTATCTGATCCTAAAGTCTTTCCTATTTTCATTCTTTTCAAAGCTTCTTTCACTTATGACATCCTAACCCTATGAATGTATCTATGACCTCCGCCCTCATTTGTACCAACAGTTCCTTCTACCGTTATGTTCCCATTGTGTTCGTCATTTAATAATTTTTTGAAAATAAACTCTCCATCTTTTGTTAACCCTGTCATCACCCTTTAATCCTTGCTCTTAATGCATTTAATATGGTTTAGATCCTTTTTTTTTTCTTATTTTTGTTAAGTTGAATATATCTTTTTCACCATCTCTTGTTCCCAGTTTATTATATAGATTATCATATGCCTTAAGTTTAGCTTTACTTACTATTTGTTAGTGTTTTTCTTAACATTTTTATATTCTTCTAAGTTTTGATCGTTTCTATTACATTGTCAAGTTTTATTACATGATTGTTTTTCAATAATTCCTTCTGAACCTCATCACTTCACTAATGGCATCGCTTCTAAGGAACGCCCTAGGCAACTAACCTTATTCATTTCTCACTCTACCTGAGGTCCAGTACAATGTGTCACTTCTGAGGAACGCCCTAGCTACCCCTTGCTCATTTCTCACTGTACTCAAGTTCTGGTACAGTGCGTCACTTCTAGGGAATGCCCTAGCATAAGCAGATATTGTATGTTCAAGATTCACAATAAGTTTTGACAAAAATTTACGTTGGCTGCCTATCTAACCCAACTCAACCCCTATACTCGGGCATGAGACTGGTTAAGGGAAACTTTAAGGTCATCACCCTTAATAGACAACCTTTTATATATATATATATATATCAAAGGTAAATGGTCTCATTAGGGATTGTATACTATGAGAGCCTTTATTTTTTATACAAAGAGGTCACAATCATTGTATGTGAAATTTAATAGAATGAAGTATATCCCAACATTCGAAAAATTTTATTTTAGACTTTGTGTCCAAACAATGACATCCTCAATCACTCAATTTCAAATCTTGACGGTCAATAATGATTGTGACCTCCTTACATCATTATGACCTCCTTACATCAAAAGTAAATGGTCTACATATAAAGAGAGAAAGAGAGAAGTCAGAGGATAGATAATGCCCCTTTTTCAAAGAGAAAGATTTAGTAAGGAAGACCAAACTGCAAAAGCCAGAGGAAAATCCCACTCCTTGAAATACAAACACACACAGGAGAAAAGAGAAGAAAACAAGTTCACTTTATTATTGGAGTGAGTGAGATAACCAAATTTTAAGGAAAAGAGAAAAGAGTTTTGTAGAGAAACACACGCATACAAATGAGAAAGTGACAAGCAATACCTTGACTCCATGGGTATGAGCAGCATTGGTCCAGCAAGGAGGTGGCAAAGTTACTAAATTATGGGAAAAATACACAAACACGTCGATCAAATGCCAGTGCCATATAGCATAAGCATCGCCATTGGAGCCACCTTGGATCCACTTATCATCCAAATAACCACCATCCATGTCGTGGCAAACCAGTATCCTTGGCCTTCGGGGCAATGAACCAGAAGAGGATTTTTGCAGAGGAACAGAGCTCTTATTGAAGGGGAAATGAAACGACTCAAAATAAGACCTATTTTCGAGGTCTTCGAGATTCGGAATGGGAAAGGAAATAGGAGTTGCAGGCTTCTTAGGATCAAAAGGGGGCGCCAATGGCGAAGAATTACGGTTCTCCGCCATTTCAAACGGGCACTCTGCAAAACGATGGAGGGCTTCAGAGATGAGAGAGGAAAGAGATTTTAAAAGAGAGAAAGCCTTCTTTGCGTAGTAACGAAGCAGAGGCCTCATTTTATTGTGGCATTTGGGTGCGGGCTTGGACGTAACGCCATGGACTGACTAATCATGGCACGATGTTTTCAATTTTCTACCGTCCAAACACAAGGAGACATTCAGAGCAAATTCCTTTCGATATCACTTAAAAGCATTTTAGGGATTGGGTCCTGGCATCTGGATATTAACGCCATGGCCGGATGCTCCCATACGAAGCTAGAGAGAAAGAGAGATCCTTGATGGATGAGAGAGAAAGAGAGAGAGAGGGGTATTTGGTGAAGATGTGTGCTGCTGTTCCTTTTTATTAGCGCGGAAACTTTCCAAGGCCGTGACATAAATGTTGGAAATATAAGTTGGCATGCATTATTTCTTCTCGTTTACAGTCCTTCCATTGATAAGTTTGGAATTTGTGCATCAAAATGTGGATTAGTGATTCATCTCTCGACTCTGAGGATAATTAGTGACTGTAACTCTTGGACAAAAATGGTTCATACCCTCTTTCCTATGTTTTCATTGCAAGACATTATTTGAAAGAAATCCATTGATGGGGTAATTGATTTCCGTGCGTTCTATTACTACGATTCAATATATTATAGGATGAAGTTTTTATGAGGCCTACGGTTTTATGAAAATAAAATATACCCCTCACCTCCAAATTTTCGGAAAGCATTGTCAGCAACAAAAATATCTGTGACGGCTCAAAAATTAATGGGTGTGGTTTTTATTGAGTCTAAGCTCAAAACAATTGAATTAGAGCCTACTTTCAAATAGTGTTGAGATATGTGGTTTCAATGTTATAAATCTTTACAATAGCCTTAAAATATATTTTTATTTTTATTTATAAAATTTAAAGCTTCAAAACAATGTAGTTCATTAGATCTATGAAAACTTAAAAATCTTGAAAACTGACGATCCAAAAATTCATTACAAATTACACTATTTTTAAAACTTGAAATCTATTTTTTTTCTCATATCCATGCATCTTGATGTCGAAATGATAAATTTGAAGATATTTGGGCATCAAAACGACATCTTCTAGAGAAATTTTTTAGGTACGCTTTAATTTGATTGTTTAAAGCCTCGGATCTATATAAACTTTTCCCAAAATCAATTTCCAACATTGACGGTTCAAAACTTCAAATATGTATAGACCTTGGGGATATATGAATACTTATTTTCAGTATTAAATGGACGGCCAAGATAATTTGTTACAATATACATTATTTTTAGAGCTTGAAATTTTTTTTTTTGTTTTACAACCATAATGTTCAGGCCGAGATAATCAATGTAAAGCTTTTTCAATGCTTGAATTGCAATTTTCAATGAGTTATGAGCTGAGGCTTTACTTACTTTGAGAAGGCCGTAGTCTTATCAAATTATTGTCCTTTATTTTATGTTATTTTTACTAGAACTTATCTAACTTTATTAAAGTCTAATCAAAGAAAATTACATTATTAGAGACAAAAGTCTCAGACAAAAAAATAACCCCCTTGGCCAGCGAATCCGCCAAGCCACTTGCTTCCCTGTAAACATGCAAAAAGGAAAATGAGAATGGGCAAGCTAAATGCCAAACTTGCAATAACAAAGATCTCAAGTCCCAAGGTACCTTATGCTCTCCTTTGCACCACTTTGATCACATTCAATGAGTCACCTTCTATCAAACATAAAGGTCCCAAATTTCTATCGACAACTAACTTTAGCCCTGAAGCAAAGCATGCAGCGCCGTATAGTTGGCAGTAGTCACCCCTATAGATCCCGCATATGAGAACACAACACGGCCTCTCCAATCTCTCACTATTCCATCAAATCCAGATAACCTGGATTCCCCAACGAACTCCCATCAGAGTTCAGTTAAAAAACTCCCTCCATCGACAGAACCCAAATCCCTTTAGGCCTACACGTGATAACTCCCATCTTAAAAAGATTTGGTAGATTTCTTCAGATATCAATGTCCAATATATTCTCCCCTCCTTTAGCAACAGATAATCACAATCATACAATATGCAAAATCCTATCCATAACCAACTCAAAAGATAAACCAATCCCATCAAAGGTTCTTCTATTTCTTTCTTTCCATATGTCCCACAAAACACCACCTCTAACTATTTGCCAAATCATTCTTCCTAACTGCGGCAGCCATGGCAGAGAGAGGTTTGAAATAATCCCTATCACCTCTTGGGATATCACCATCAAGGTCCTCATTTGAGAAAAAAAACCAGGACCATATTCTAGAGATGAAATGACAACGAAGAAACAAATGAGTACATGTTTCACTATCCCCTTTGCACATTAAACATACATTGAATAATATCTTCCCATTATTTATCAGATTGTCCACAGTTGGAACCTTATCCTGAACTGCCAACCACATAAAAGCCTAGACTTTATGAGGTATCGACCATTTCCAAATTTGGGCAATTATCGGCATCAACCATCTCTATCGATCATAGAAAAGAATGAGATATATTTACTTCACTGTAAAAATTCCATCATTCTCAATCTCCCAAGCTACCTCATTTTGTGCAACTTCTGAAACGTGAACTTGATTTAGGATTTCCAAAAGTGAATTAAGCTGGGAGAATAACTCATCTGAAATTCTATTATAAGGCAACTGAATATTGCACACAATCAGACTCCCCTTAACCTCAAACATATATGCGACCATCACATTGGGGTTATCCATCCTCTCAAAGATACACGGAAATGCAGTTTTTAAGATAGAGCAACCAATCCACTTATGGTGCCAAAAGAAGTTCAGGTTACCACTACCCAAACTCCATCTCACATTACGATGAATTAAAGGCTTATAAAGATTAATGGCTCTCCAGGCGCAAGACAAATCTCTATTACCACACCTTGGCCCAATCCACATACCAAAATTGTCAAAGCCATACTTAACCATCACTGCCTTAAACCATAATTGATCATTAAACTGCAAACTACGCCACTCCAATTTACATAGCAGGGCTTGATTTACCAACTTTCCTCAATCCTAATCCCACTTCATTTTTTGGCGTACATATCTTATCCCACCTAGAAGATGATATTTCCTAGACCCATCAGTTGAACCCCACAAGAAATTCCTCATCATACCTTCAATTTTCTTAGCTGCTGATGTAGGGATCTGTATGATAGACATCTGGTATATCAGTAAGATAGCCAAGCACCTCATAGTAGTGTTATCCATCCACCCAAAGATAAATATTTATAGCTCCACAGATCCAATTTAAATTGAATTATTTGAATAACTTTATCTTAGACTGACAATGGGAGCCTTCCATCAAAGATAGGCATACCCAGGTACGTGCTTGGAAAATGATCCATCTTGCATCCCACAGCCTCTGCAATCTCATCAACCACATAATCCTCAAAATTAATTCCAATCACAGTGGTTTTCTCAAATTTTACTTTAAGGCCCAAAGAAACCTCACCACATCGCAAAAAGGTTGCAATATTTTTATCCTGGTCAATCTCAATCCCCACAAAAGATAAAAGTACCATCTGCGTATTGCAAATGTGACACACACGATCCCTCATTTGCCTCCTTAAGACCAGCAAAATTTCCCTTACTCTCCACATTACGCACCATAAGACTAAAGCATTATGCATAGATTGTAAACAAAAATAAAGATAATGGTTCACCTTAACGTAATCCTCGAGAAGCACCAAAAAAACCAGTAGGGCTCCCTTTATAAAGAATGGTGAAATGCGCAGTGGACAAATAACCATAAATCCAACTCCTTCTTTTTCTCCAAACCCCATATTTTTCATATCTCTAAAAGAACACTACTCTCTACTCTATCATATGCCTTTTCTATATCCAATTTTAAAACAATCCCTGGATTTCCACTCAAAACCCTAGAATGGATACCCTCTTAAGCCACCAACACACTATCTGTGATCAACCAATCTTTAATCAAGGCAGATTGAGGTCCAAATATAATTAAGGGCAGAACCACTTTCAACTTTTCAGCTAGCACCTTCGCCACTATTTTATAAAGGCTTGAAATAAGACTGATGGGTATAATATCCCTAAGTCTTGTAATTATGGTCTTCTTAGGTATGAGGGCAATAAATATAGAGATAACTCCTTTAAATAGCTTCCCTTTCCTTAAAAATCCTTTATATGAACAATTGTTTCATGTAGGTTGAACCGCATTTGTACAATATGTGGTCCAAAAGTATAAAGCATCCATCTTAAAGATGGATGTCAATAGGTGGTCCATCTAAAAACAATTGAAATTAACAGTCCAAATGTTTTTTTAATTATTTTTAGTATTCAAACTGTATTTATTTTTTTATATTCATGATCTCCATATTAAAAATTATATATTCTTTAAAAATTAGGATTGAATTATATTTCTAGAAATAAATTTATTAAGGGGCCTGCATTTCGAGATGTGTGGGCTTGGCCGCATGTTAACCGTAGCCTTATTATATATCCCATGATTAATAGTGTTGTTCTAATCACCAAACACACGAGTTCCAACTCTTGTGCCCGTCACTCGATATCCATTTTAATGAATAGATCGAGTTACATTATTTATTGAAGAAACTTAGGCACCGTTGAAAGTTAGAAACCTTATTTGCAGAAGTACGGTACAAATCTACAAATAAATTGCAATAGTTATTAGTGTCCATTTTATTTCGAGTGGTCTAAAAGGTCTTATTTTTTTGATATTGTTTTAAAAGATTTGTCAAATCTATATGATTCAAGCAAACTAGGTAGTATATAATACGAATGAGGTTTCTATAAAGCTTAAAAACAAAATAAACCCTCACCTCAAATCCTCGTTCGGAAAGCACTTTCGGCAATGGAAATCTCTATGATGGCTCTACAATCAATTTTCAATACCGAAAATAAACTTTAAAACTCAAAAAATGGTACAAAAGTTGCAGATCTATGAACACTATTTTTAGGGTGAAATGGGTGATCTAGATAATTTGTTACAATATACATTATTTTTAGAGCTTGAAATCTATTTTTTTTATTTTACAACTATATAATGTTGAAACCAAGATGATTGATGTAAAATTTTTCTGATGCTTAAATTACAATTTTGAATAAGTTATGAGGTGAGGCTTTACTTGTTTTGATAGAGCTGCAGCCCTATCAAACCATTTTTCATATAATATTGTACCTTATTTCTACAAGCGAGATTATCACCTTATACAAACCACTCCCCATTTTATTAGGTGCAATTTGTATAGGGCGACAAGTTTATTTTCAAAAGTAAGGTTGGGGTATTCTATATTTTGTTCATTTATTTAGATGGTATAGATTTTTTTTTAAGCCATTTTTAAGATCCGGTACATCTTTAAGATAGTGCTAATCTACATCATGTAACTAAATAGACAATATAGATTCCTGCAACCTTACATCTAAGTCACCTTATATAAAACTCTTTCCTATTTTTTCATGGGTCTAGCTCGGGCTTTACGATATTTGGTAAACTTTGTGCAAAACTCTATTGGAAAACGTAGTTTTGATGCCAAAAGTTCTTATGCTATTATGCAAATCTATTTCGGCTCCTGATCATGAATACTGAAGCTCCAAAAATAATCAGGCATGGCCGATCGATGGATACTTAAAACAAATAGTCCCAAAAATATGTATAAAATAAACAATTTTTAGAGCTTGAAATATTGTTTGTTTATTTATTATTGTTGTGGTCCTGATGATTTGAGTTTTAGGATATTTGATGCCAAAACTACATCTTTGCACTATGCTGGCAACAGGTCAAGCATGGACCGAGCCAGCTCTGGCCTTCATTCAGTCAAGGCTCGGCCAGACCTATTAGACTTAAAGAATGAAAAAAATAAGGAAAAAAATCGAGGAGTTAGGCCAGCTCCATTGGGCCCATGGCCCAAGCTTGGCTCGGCCTAACCCTCATACCATGGTAGCTCAGCCCCAATGTGGCTCTGGCTGTTGCTTGATAAAATACTTTCCCTTTTATAAAAAGAAAAAGTTTATATAAGGTTGGCACCTTAAAATATAGAATTAAGGTACAACTATAAAATCCTTCAAAAAAGGTTTTTTTAATGTTAGAAGAACATCTAATTGATTATCTTGATATCGACATGTATAGATATAGAGAAAAAAAGAGATTTCAAGTCCTAAAAACAATACATCTTATAATACATTATCTAGACCATCCATTTTCTAGACTTTCACGCGTTTACATATCCACTCGATTTGAACCATTTTTTGGAGTCTAAAATTTTATAATTAGAGACAAACATAAATTTTCGCATCATCCTACGATTTTTCGATACCAAAATTGCATCTCATAGCAAAGTTTGGACGTGCACCTATTTTGATTGTTTATTTGTTTGCAGCTTATGAAACGGTACCCTTAATAAAAAAAAAACAAGTGATTTTTATTAGTGATGACTTTTAAAATCAAAGCAACGGCACTAGGTTTTATGAGTTCACAGCACAACAAAACAAGCATCTCCTTTGAATGAAGATAAGTTACTTATCAAAATTAGAGTCATTTGTTACGAAAATAATAATATCTATAAAATTGTTTAATTTTAAAAATAAGCAATTTAATTTTGCAATTTACAAAAGAACTCCAGACATTTTAGTCTTGTTCATTACTTTCACCAATTCAATTTGAAAATCAATTTAGTAAAATTAACAATATGAAAATCACCTTAAACGAACTGCCTAAAATGGGTCCAATATTCAAGTTTGCAACAATAGAGTTCTGAAACCATTTTATTTACCAAAAGCCATTTTATTTACCAAAAGAAAACATAATAATATGAGAATGACCAAATAAGTCAGCCCCACTAACGTTTAGATGATTCAAGCTTCATTGGACCATCTTTTTTGTGGATGGGAACAGCATGTGAGAGTGACGGAGGGATAGATTGTTAAAAATTACCAACCTCTGGCCTAAGGGTGGCCATGGGCTGGGCCTGCCATGGCCTCGGCCCGACCCTTGTTCCTATCGGGCATGCCCAAGCGAAGCCAGGCATTACATGGTTAAGGCCAGGCCAGGCGGGGCCGGGCCGGGCCAAAAACAAAAAGATAAAAAAAAGAAAAAAAAGAACGCAAGGCGAGGCCAACCAGACCGGTAGGCACTGGCCATTAATAAAAAAAAAAAGGGTGTAGGAGAGGGAGGAGTAACCTCTTGGGTGGAGGACATGCATGCATGCACTACCTTGGAAAATTCCGACCTAAACTAGGCCAGTCTCAATAGCCCTCCACAAATAATACAGAGTTAACAAGTAAACACAAAGGACCTTTGCCCTGACCATGCAAAAATCAACAAAATACCAACCAACAATCTTTGCCCTAAAAAATGCATGCACTCAATTCAACCTTTCCTCTTTATCATTGAAGGAGGGGTCCCCTCAAATAAGTCATCTATGCAAGCTTCAAGCTCTTCAGGCCCATACTTGATATACTTATCAGCTTGCCTTCCTCCATCTAAATATTGACTGAATCTCCCCAAAAAGGATCTATAAGCAGGAATCACAACAGAAGAAACAGCAATTCTGAGCTCACTCTGCAACTGTTCATCGCTCACAATCCATGAAGACTGTGTCTTGTGAATCTCTTCAAACTGTGTGTTAAATTGCTTGAATCTCTCTTTTAAAGCAGCCTTTGAAACCCCTGAAGAGAAGTTGCCCTTAGCATGAAGACCCTCGTCTTTCAAGCAGGCGAGGACCTTTGTCCACGTCTCTCTCTGGTAGCTCTTGTGGTAATGGCGAAGCTCGGAGCTCCTCTTCCTGCACCAGACGTCGCCGAGAAGGGCGTAAATCTCTGAGTCTTTGATCTTCTGGACTATGTAACGGCCATTGTTCATGAGGAAGACATAGCTCAGAGACAAGTCCTTGTAGAGCTTGGACTTGGCCTCGAGGTTCTTATCGAGGAGGTCCATAATCCCTGCAAGCTGCAAACCCAGAGGCGACATTTCCGGTGAATTCTTCTGCTCTTTTTTAGGGGATGCAGCAGTTACTCGGTGTTCCAAGAACACCTGTTCCAGTGGTTCCTTATACTCGCAGGTGAGCTTCAAATAGTTCATTACGTAGCGAGTGAGCGGATGCACTGCACCTCCAGGTACTGGAGTCCGTGCAGCATCACCATGAATTGCACTCTCGAGCTCTGCAAAAATGCCAACTGCTGCATCTCCCAGTCGAGAGCGCGCAGACTCGATCTCCACACACAGTTCGGTCCAACAGAGGCCACTGGCTATCGAAGAAGCCACATCCCTGAGAGTCTCATACATATCTAGAAACTTGAACAGTTTCTCTGCAGATCGCTTGCTCATGGCGACAGCTTCTGCAAAATTGAGAAGCTGGATCACCACACCTCTAGCCAAGTTTTGGAATAGAGAATCAGCCATTGCACCTTTCCCAAACACCTCTTCACAGAGCCTCTGCTCTGATGGGAAATAGAAGGTAACGATTCGGCGAAAAGCTTTCATCCATTTCCCGATCTCGGTCTCCAGTGTCTCCCACTGCATCTTCTGCACGTCTTCAATACTGATTCGCTCAAATCCTAATTTTGCCAGACTACCTTCGAACAGCTTCCGCCTTGCTATGCTAAACACTTGTAGACACTCAGTCTCATAACCCGCTTTGATCATTATTCTGGCAATCCTTGATATCAAAGCCAAATTTTCTGGTGAGTATGCATCAAAAACAGCCGGAATCTGATCAGAAACATGTTTTTGATCGCTGGAATCTTCCTGTTTTTCATCACTGGAATCTTTCCCAGACTTCACCGGAGAATCATTTTCCAGTGGATGAGGAATGACATAACGATCATTATCAGACTCCAAATCATTAGAATCTTCAAGAAGTGACCGGAGCTCTTCCTCCAAGAATGCCATTGATTGTTGGAGGACGACAGCAAGTTTCTGATGCTCAGGGAGAGCCTGAGAAAGTCGCCATACGAGATCAATCGATTCAAGGAATTGCCCAGAATCATCGCCAGAAAACCAATTTAACCGATCACCGGACTCCCATTTCAAGATTTTCCCAGAGAGTTTCTCACTGAAACTTTCAACACACGCCGGTGGCTCCGGTTTCTGATCTTTTCCAGCTATCGAAGCCAAGAAACTTTCAAGATCAGAGGTGAAGCTGTCGAGATCCTCACAGTGAGGGGTTTCAGGGGTGGTGGAGACCGCAGGAATTTGGTCTAAATCCAAGTCATGGCGGTTTTTAGGTGAGTCATAGCGGCCCTCCGACATGATTTCTGGTTTTTCATGGTCATTTTTACGAAGGAGGTTACCAGGAAAGGAGTGGGTTCTCTGAGGGACATTTTCCATTTGGGTTTAGAGTGGTGGCCAGGCCATGCAGAGAGAGAGAGAGAGAGAGAGAGGAGGAGCGGAGGGAGAGTGGAGGAGAGAGAGTAG